CAGGATAAAGTGGCCGTGATAACGAAGTGGCCAATATTATCAAGATGGTTATAAGTTGGGGTTACACTGTACAGTGGAACCCAACTGTATGGATACCTGCTTTAATATGGTTACACTCTTATTATGGACAGTTCTGTTTGTCCCTTTGGTGTTCTTGTTAACTAGGTTCTACTGTTGGTCGTCAAATCTACTGCAAGATGTTCTACTCTTGTTTTTACACTCTAGTGATCTGCAAGGATATGTTTGATTCTAATGTGATACTTTATTTTCAACCTTGCCTTCCTCTGTTGCCCCTACCTTCTGTTGTATAGATCTATATTTGGACTTTTCTCCTTAATTCTTGTATCACTTGACACATAGATGTCTATAGTCTATAGATGTTATTTTGAATATTCCTGTTGGCTATATTTCTCACACATCATGCATTTTTTATTAGACGTGTAAAATTACATGGAACTCTTTTTGCACTAGATCCAACTGATGATGATAAAATCATGGCAGAAGGGATCGGCCGATTCTGTGAAGACCTCAAGTTAGATCCTACCAACCTAAGAGTACTTTTAATTGCTTGGAAATTTAAAGCTGCAACACAATGCGAGTTTACAAGGAAAGAGTTTACGGATGGCATGTTAGAACTAGGGTAAGCTGTAATTAGAAATATTAGAAATATTTAATTGATACTCTAGATCCAATACTCTAGATCCAGATATTGCTAAGTTTTTCTACAGTCATTTTGTTTGCTTGAAGAGGGCTGTCCCATTCTCACCACTTGCTCAAGTCATTAACATTAAGGTTCAAGTACTACAAGTGCTACAACTCGTAGAAGTTTATCATTTGTGTGATATTGGTTCAAGTGGTGATTATGTGATACATTTCAGTGAAATAAAATGAAATGAAATAGTACTTGGTGATATTTCATGTCTCATTGTGGACACTTGCTTTGATAAATAAGGGGCCTTGTCAATTCATATGGTTTACAAGAGTTATGCAACTCCTGATCAGAACCTTCATCTCATTATGGACACTTGAAGTTTTTTAGTTAGCACTGTAGATATCATGAGTGGCCTAGTCAAATGGCACGACCCTTACAAGACCTGCAACAGGTTAACCTACATCTCAATATAGACACTTGAGTTTGTTAGCACAATTTTGATGTTATATTCACATCACACTTTTTGGCCTAGTGTGGTGATGTTTCAAATATAGATTCTGAACTTCCCTAATAAAAGCCTTGGCTTGGTAATGTACAGAATAATGTACTTAGTAAGCTGTGAAGAATCAGTGAAAATATCATGTGATGGTTCTCAGAATAATTTGGAATTCTCTACCTATTTCTTTTAAGGTAAAAGTGTTTAACATACAAAATCATGCTGTCATTGTTTTCTGTTACAGTTGTGATTCAATTGACAAACTCCGAAGCAAGCTTCCCAACCTGGAGGCAGACCTCAGAGACACTGTCAAATTTAAAGATTTATACCAGTTCACTTTTAATTTTGCTAAAAATCCAGGCCAGAAAAGCTTAGGTAAGATTCATTGATAGTAATTCATTATTCCATGAAATGAAACAAAGATTTGTCTGAAATATTTGATTGGAGAAATATTAAATTCTTTTTCCTAGTTTCCCTGTACCATAATTGCAATATTTTTTAACAAGCCTTTCGGTAATTTTTATCTGTCAGCAGATTATATCTCAGTTTTGAGATGATTTTAAAACTGAAATCCAGGACAAGAAGTGTCTGGTTGGGAATTTTGTTAGATCATATGGGATATTTTTAAGTCTAAGTTGTTTTATTGTTTATCCATCAAAAAGACTCAACATATAATTTATAGGTAATGCTTGTTGTCATTATATTACAGTGTAGTTTTCTATTCTATGCCCCACTGAATGAAAGTTAAGAAGATGTTGCTCCCAATAGTCTTGCATTTGTCAGACCAAACTGAACTTAACTCATCAAAAGAGCAAATTTAATGGGTAATAGACCAGTTTACAGTTCTTTGAAATGTAACCTAACCTCTGCGGGGAAGCAAGGTTTGGGTGGACCATTGGAGATTAGAAACTAGTTGGCATGATGACAATAATTTACATTTGAAAAGTAACAAGGTTTGTATCATAACAAAGTCAACTCTAGCCTAACTTCTGAAAAGGCCTGACAAATAAAGTCATGGATTTGTGAATCTTAGTAAATACAATTTGACTTTGCAGATTTAGAGATGTCCATTGCTTATTGGAATATAGTCCTTAGAGGGAAATTTAAATTCCTTGATATTTGGTGCGAGTTTCTCCGGGTAAGTTAAATGTGTTTTTGAACCAGTGAATGAAAGATAAATTTACTCATCTACTAGTTTTATTTTCAATTAATAAACTCGTATGAGTTTCCACATTCAGTCACAAAATCGTCCAATACATCAACCAACATGATTCATTTTGAAATGGAGAAACATTTGTCAGTAATACCAACTAAATCTTGAGAGAGGTGCAGACATGACAAGGTCAAGGGTGGATCCAAGATTTTTCAAGGTGGCTGGGGGTGGTGGGGGGTGTAGTGGCTAGTACCTTGGGGTGACGGAATCAACAAAGCATGCCCCCAAAATGGTGCAATTTGACAATTGGAACCAAATTGAAAAGTGTTACACCAGAAATACGTCTAGCAATGCCACAAAGTAGAAATTACAGTGAGGTACTTGTCCGGAGTGTTTGGCTTTATTTCTGTCATTGATAATGTTGGCAATCTTTTTCAATTTTTTAAAATTATTTTTTGCTTCTCCAAAAGTGGGCTGGCTAGCCACCCAGTCCACCTCTTCCCATCCCTAAACCAGAGCTTAAATGAAGGTTAAACAAGCGAGGTTACTCTGTTAACAAGTTCTCTGGTTAGGACTCCTAAAAAGTAATTTGCCTTGCCTTGTATTAACCAAATGGCACTCATGTAACCATAAAACAATTCAGGTCAACTGATACTTTTGTTTGCAACAAAGCACAAGTTTAAATGATGCTTGCATAAACTATCGTTAAGATTAAGTTAAGATTAAGAAAATAAGTAACAGTAACTATTGTATGCATTGTATGTAACCTGTAGTTGTTGAGCCAATTGACATATGTTTTTAAAGTCAGGTACACCTCTACATCTAGCAAATTGACATCAGTTTTTCCTGCATCTGTCTTGTTACTGATCATGAATATTCTCATTTCATGATCAATAACAGGACAGACACATGAAAAACTGATGTCAATTTGTTTTTGTACAATAAACAAAATTATGGCTGGGCATCAATTTTAAATTCATGTATCTGTCTGCTTATTGACAAAATGAAAATTAGCCAATGAGCATGCAAGAATTTCTGCAGTTATTGTAAAATATGAAATGACGTTTATATAAATTTATATTCACAGATACATCATAAAAAGGCTATATCCAAAGATACGTGGAACCTTTTGCTAGACTTCAGTAACATGATCGAGGATGACATGAGCAATTATGATGAAGAAGGTGACTGAAATTACATGTATTATTATTTATATCTGACTAATATATACAGTGTATCAACCCCTGATATTAAAAGAAATTTATGATAATTTTTAAGTTATTAACTGACTGGGAGGGCTGGATGGGAAAACATTACTTTGGCTCATGGTAATGGTTGCACTGACATACTTAACAGTTCGCTGCATAATTGTATGGACACCGTTATTATCAACATTGATTTTGAATAATAATGACCTTGTGGATTCCTGTTGCTTTTTTTCAGGAGCATGGCCAGTACTAATAGATGAATTTGTAGAGTATGCTAAACCTAAAGTCACAGGAAAGCAAACAACTGTATGATACAACCCTGCTTGCACTAGGAATATTGCGGCTGGAACATGGTCTGTCTGTGGTCATCTTTTTACAACACATCAATTGACAAACTTGGAACTTTGTCATTATTTTTCATGAAGATCTCAGTGACGACCGTCTAGAATTTAAGTGCAATATCATCATAAACAAAAAGCCTTTATTGCTGGACTGTAAAAGGATGTTTTCTTTCTATGACAACCTAATATTAATGACTGTCAATAGACTCATAATACCCTGAGGATGTACATAATGGTAATAAAACCAATATTTTCATACCAATTTCTTGTTACAATATTGTTACGTAGATAGGGTGGCTGTCTTCTTATACAATCCCTTTTCCCTTTGTAGATTTGTTATCTATTAGTCAGATTTTTCCTCCCTTTATAGCCACTCTTTGTAAAGTTTTTAGTTAAATTAAAATCAGAGGTAGTCCATATCCTTGCAACTATAACCGAATACTACTACCTCTGTGAAAACTGAAAATTAAGATTGAAGTGTTAAACAGAATTAAAGCAATTTTTGTACCTCTTAGTGTTTGCTTGGCATATTTGTTGTCATTGTTGTTGTCACACCAGAAACAAAAGCTGGTACACAGTGAAGTAAATGTTGTTTTTCTCGTTTACAATGTTTTAAGATAAGTCACTGGCATCACTAGTTACATCTAACAATAGACCTTGCCAAAGTTTTGACAGTTGACAAACAC